AGTTGAACATCCAGATACAACATTAAAACAATATATTGCATAGTGTTTTTGTGTGAGGCTTCCCTTTCGTCACTGAGGGAAACAATGACCATGCAGCTGAATGATAGATTAAAAAGTTGTGCTGAAACTCTTCAGGACAAACAGTTATTGGCCAAATTGAGTTCTGGGGATGTGATAGCGCAAGACATGAAATACCATCCTGCTTGGCTTGCAGCTCTATATAATAAAGAAAGAGCCTTTAAGAAAAAGACAGAAGAACAGACAGAAATTGATATCGATGCAGAAAATAAAGCAGTAGATGTTGCCTTGGTCGAACTAGTCAATTATATATTCGAGAGGCAAAGAAATGGTGATTGGGCCACTGTATTTAGGGTTGCAGATTTACAAATTTGTATGAAAAAAGAGTTCAGCAGTTAAGTTAGGGTTGACTTCCAACATCACAGGACACGACTCAAAGAAATGCTACTGTCAACGATACCAGATCTTCAAGCATACACTAAACGTAGGGAGGTGCTGTTGGTTTTTGAAAAAGATGTTGGTCCAGCAATAGCATTTGCATGTAATTACGACGACACCATACATATCGGAAAAAACACCGAAAATTATTCCGGCACAAATTAAGAAATACAAGACAAAGTTTTCTGGTTCATTTTCTGCCGAATAAATCCAATCAAGCGTCCCCCCATCATTGCTTGAACAAGCGTGTGTGATTGAACACAATCCCAATTAGAGAACAGTGTATGCAAGTTTGATCTAGCCATTGCTCAGCTCCTAATGTACAACTATCATGCAAAAACACCGAAAATATCAGAACAAGAGCGGCATGCAGTAGATCGTGAAACTCCATTTTGTATCTATATCGGTCTTTTAAGTTTTGCAAGGACCAGGAAGCGTCAATTGATCGATACTTTATTTCAGTATGGGTTATGTATTTCATATCACCGGGTATTAGAATTATCAACTCAACTAGGAGAGGCTGTTGTTTAACGCTTTCTGTCCGCAGGTTTAGTATGTCCACCTGTTTAAAAAAGGGCTTTTCACTACAGCTGCTGTTGACAATATTGATCACAACCCTACTTCACCCACTGCAAAATCATCTTTTCTTGGGACGGGATTTCTATTTTTCAGCACCCGTCAGATGACAATAGTTGGTTAGAACGTGGAGACTTAATACGGGAAATAGACCACGTTCAAGACAAGTATCTTCTCTTCCAGATACATACGCCAATATTAGACCTGCCTACTTAAAGACTAAACCTACACCTCCAAATACCCCTAATACCATACTCAAATGACCAGATCATGATGAATTCCTCTAATCCTCATGCCCGTCTTTATAGGTAAATTTAACGTCTTCGATACCACTGTTTGAAGAACAAGCCCCTTCAGTTGCAATGATCAAGCATTCGATTGATAAAGTGAAAAGGGTGGTTAACTTTCCTAATCCCGGACAAACACCAATTATCAAAACTGCAGATCAGTCACTTTTTGTGTTGGCAAAGTACAGTGAGAATCATGGGAATGGCCAGATTTGTACAGAGAAGATAAGTTTATCGTCATGTCTGGTGGATTGAACATTTAAATGGCTAGTACGCTCATTTCGTGAGTCAGATTTCGTACTTTCAAACAGTCCATATCATGCATGATACCATATTTTTTTGGTCTTGATCGATTAAATTATTCTCGATAGTTACCGATTCATCTTCGAGATATGGCTTCCCTTCACGAACATCACCCACAGGTGGCAATGAAATTTTCAAATGGTAATTTCACGTTACGTAAGACCAGCAAGTTGTTTTCTAATATGGCAATTGATCAGGCACATGCACAGGATAATGCAATCGTGGATGGCGATGGTAGTGGCAAAGGTTTAACGGGAAATCCCTCAGCTTTGAGACGATGGATGGTAGCCGGACTAGAAGTCAGTAAACTGGTAGATGAATTTGAAAGATCTAGTGCTTTCTCCTTGAAAATGACAACAAAACGGAATTGTTCAAGCTTCTCGCCAACAGAATTGCTTCTTTAGAGACTGATAAAAATGTTTATGTTACTAAAGGTGAACATGTTCTTTGCAATTTCAATACGGATACTTCCCAGCTGTCCCCTCGTAATCACGAAGAAGCAGACACACGAATAATTGTCCATGTTAAGCATGCTGCTGTAAATGGTTGTAAAGAAGTAATTTTATGTAGTACTGACACGGATGGAGTAGTTTTAGGAGTTTCAGCATTCGCATGACTAATGGTGGATAAATTGTGGATAGGTTTTGGAAGGAATAAAGACTTTCGATGGCTTCCTGTACATGGCATATCAAATTCGTTAGGTCCTCGTGTATCTGCTCTTTCTTTCTTCCATGCATTCAGTGGATGTGACACTGTGTCAGCATTTCGTGGGAAAGGGAGGAAGTCAGCTTGGCAGACATGGGAAGTATTTCCAGATGTAACGGACGTTTTTACCCGCTTGAGTATGACACTAAACTCTATTGAAGACACATACATGGACATCATTGAAGCATTTTTTTTGCATCATGTTTAAAAGAACGAAATTTGCTGTTGACGAGGAACGATTTGAATTGTTTACCAGAGGTGCTGTTCTGGAACACATCAAAAGAGTAGCATATCAAAGCGGACATGTTTGGACTCAAATGGATATATGCATTCAACAGTTACCAAGTCCTGAACACTGGGGTTTGATGAAAGAAAAAGACAATGACAGTTGGAAACAAAAAAATGACTTCATTGCCTGCCGTCGCATCCTCGTGTCAGGAACTTTTGAAATGCGGATGCAAGAAATCCAGCTGTGTGGGTAACTGTAAATACTACCGTTCTGGCCTTCCCTGTAGGGTTTATGTGCATGCAACTGTCAGTTAGATAAATATTAGATAAAGCAACCGGTCTTCCTAACCAAATTAGGAATTTGAACTGAACAAAGTAAGTGATATCTCTTGTTAAGTTGATGGAAATGATAAAAAATGACATTTTCGCAGTTTTGGTCGCCATTTTGGAAACGGAAGTTACATTTTATCTTCATTAATGCATTGTCTCATCGTACTTTCTGAACTGTAAGTTACGTTTCTATCAACATTTACATTTGATTATACCTTCAACACAGCTTTCAAAGGATTCACGAAATGTAGCCAATTTGAACTGATGCCATTTGCAAAATGAGGGGTGGTCATCTTGAAAAAATAATTAAAAAAAATATTGCCAACAGCTTTTATTTTTAAATTAACATTTAATTAACCTTTATACTAAATTCCATGCTTGTATCACGATTTGCACAATTGTTTGCATAATATCTCCCATTACTACAGGTATGAATCGCCGTTCCGTACATCGGCGCACTCCTACATATTAGGATGGATAATGCGCTATATAAAAATACTTCAGACATTTCTCAAGTTCGCTCATACTCTACCGGACGGAAAATGTAGATTTTTATTAGGAGGCAATATTTAATACTTTCACCCTTTGAATTAACTTCTAGGACCAACTGACTGAATGCCATTAAATTACACAAAGGTACCATATCTAATATGAAATAAGTTGATAATGAGAACCACTGACATATTAGCTGAATAAATTGTGTAATTGAAGGTAAAGAACAGAAAAATTAGTTGTTTCTTGAGAAATAAATGATAGTTCGGACAACTTCTTTCGGATTTTAATTTTTTTAAAAAGAATTTATGCTGTTACTGTGAATGCTCTTATTGTCGTGGAAGGGGAAAGATTGGATTTGTTGATATTGTAATTTGTGGTTTTGACAAATTCTACATACACGACTATAGGAAATTGATATCTCATGGAATAAATGGAGAATGTGTCCATGGGACAGGGATGATGCTCCCGCTTGTATATAACGTTATAAAGGGAAATTACTCGAGAAAAGTAAAAGTGACGCCACCCAAATTCGAACTTGATCTGAGTTTTTGTGGTAATAATCATTGTGTATAAGTTTCATAACATTTGGTTGAGGCAAACTTAAGTTAGAGAACGGAAACGAAAAATTCAGCAATTTTTCCTTTAGTAATGGGGCATAACTCTAGATTGGTAAAAGTGACGCCACCCAAATTCAAACTTGATCTGTGTTTTGTGGTAATAAGCATTGTGTATAAGTTTCATTACATTTGATTGAGGCAAACTAAAGTATGAGAACGGAAAATAATTTTGGGACGTACAGACGGACAAGGGTAACACTTAATGCCCCCTCAGCTGCAATGGGGGCATAATAATTGAATTCATAGTTCACTTAGATTCTAAAATCAAAGAAGATTTAAACTCCACAAATAATCCACAGTATAAAAGATATGACCTTTGAAAACAGATGTAGAAATGGAAAACATTTTTCAGTCTTCTTGTTCATTTAAATCAGCCTTCAGAAAAATTGTGGTTATACAAGATAAACAATACCAGCACTACAAAGCATAATATGGATGTATACAGATTGATATTTTAGTCTAAGATACATGATTTTTTTTCTTATTGTTATTGGCTTTAAGCTATCCTCTAATAACTGGGAGTACTCTCAGATCTGCACTTTGTGTCTTTTGTGATTTTGTGCTTTGTATTGATCCGATACACCATTTTCAACTGATTTTTAGTTGTTCTAATGTTGTGCTGTTACAACACTGTCCCAGGTTTGGGGAGGATTGGTGTGCCTGCAAACATGTTTAACGACCCCACATTCTGTTTGTGCATGTCCATCAGGAGCCTTTAATTCAGTGGTTGTTGTTTGTTGCTGTATATCATTTTTGTTTTTTGTTCATTGTTTTGTGCATAATTCAGGCTTTTGTTTTTCTCGATTGACTTGTTTATACATTTATCATTTAGGGACCTTTTTATACATTGCTATGCGGTTTAGGTTTTGCTCATTTTTGAAGGCCGTAAAATGACATATAGTTGCTAATTTATTTGTCATTTTGTCTTGGGTGAGAGTTGTCTCATTTGCAATCATACCACATCTTCTTATTCTTATATTGTATCCAAAATCAGACAAAAAACTTGTAATCTAAACAAACATTTATTCAAAATCATTAAAGCACATCAATTTAACAATGTCAATAACAATACTCAGTTTGGTCAGAGCATATAAACAAATGATGTTATTCTTCTCCTATGTTAAAAAAGGTACACCTATCATCAAACCGTTTGCTTTGTTCGTTGTTTTTTTTAATCTTATACAATTGTTACTTGAAATTAGCTTAATATTAAGTTTCAATAGTTAATGCTTTACCCCTCCCACCTATCAATTGAAGGGTATGGTTGAGCTGCCCTGAGAGGACACTATTTCAAGCTTCATTATATATGACAAAAGTGGGAAATTAAGATGAAACATATAAGGTTGAGGTAATAAGCTTGTTTGATTATATTATAAGTGTGTGAAACTAATCAGAAGACTTGAAATGTAAGTACTAATATTTATGTTTGATTAGCCGTTCAAAAACTGGTCTGAAATAGCGTAATACATCAATTAGTTGTCCAAAAAATATATGACAGGGTGTATTATTTCGTAATATTCAAAATATTTGAAAAGGTTTGAGTACTGGAAGTATCAGTCTCGGCTGCGCACCCCTTCCTCGTATGATTTAAGTGCCCTTCACCCAACCCCCTCCCAGGTCTTACTTTTCGGTTTTGTAATTTTCTATTTACATCAAGCAGCTTCATATTACAAGATACTGTTTAGTGTGAGATTCAGGTGCAGTCCCAACTTTCTGTTGAGGGACTGTCCCAAAATATCCTACATGACATAACAAGAAAGCCAAAGACCAAATGATAGGTGTATCTTGTCCCTGCATAATATAACTCTTATCACAAGACTCCGATGTTATTTTCATTGCATTATTAGATAAATGACTACATAAACACATGAAAAATTTGATCATGTACTAATATATATATTTTGAAGATTTCTGCTAAATTACAGATATTGCCAATCTATCAGAAAACTAAAACTGTCTTATCTATATTTTTGCCTGATCAAATTTTCCATGTAAACAAAATATTTGTTACTCATTACATATAGATACTTATTTCATACAAAGATTTTCAATATATTGTTCAGATATAAATAACAAGAGGCTCTCAAGAGCCTGAATCGTTCACCTGTATTTCAGAGGAGAAGATTTTTAAATGTTAGCAAACTTGATGAACAAATTGTGTAAAATTGTCTTTAAAGGGCAATAACTCCTTAACGGGTCAATTGACAATTATGGTCATATTAACTTTTTTTTAGATCTTACTTTGCTGAACATTATTGCTGCTTACAGTTTATATATATCTATAATAATATTCAAAATAATAACAAAAAACTGCAAAATTTTGTTAAAACTACCAATTCTGTGGCAGCAACCCAACAATGGGTTGTTCGATTCGTCTGAAAATTTCAGAGCTGATAGATCTTGACCAATTGAACAATTTTACCCCATATGTCACATTTGCTCTAAAAGCTTTAGTTTTTGAGATATAAGCCAAAAACTGCATTTGACCCCTATGTTCTATTTTTAGCCATGGGGGCCATGTTTGTCGATGGATCAAAACTTCGGATAAAATTTATAAACTAGATACCCTAAGGAACATTTAGTTAAAGTTTGAAGGTATTTGGCCAGGTAGTTTCAGAGGAGAAGATTATTTAAATAGTTTACTACGACAGACGACGACGACAGACGACGGACGCCAAGTGATGGCATAAGCTCAGATGGGGCCCTTTGGGCCCCGGTGAGCTAAAAAGTCTTAATTGTCTTATATTTGACTCTCTTAATTTGTGTTTTTTTCATGGCAGTGGAAATCAGAGTTATCATATGCCTTCAGCAAGTTAACCCTTTACATTTCTCTTTTAATAAACAAAAATATATTAACCTACAGAAGTGATACTTGGTACGAAGTAAATTCAAACGTGATTCGTCATCAAATAAAAATTAATATAAAAATCAAATTTAACTGCAGAAAAAGAATCTGCATGCTCAAGAATATACATAAACTGGTATTTTCTTTTTCACAAATGTATATTGACATATATGTCATTTTATTGTAATTTTCAATCCAGCATTATTTAATGTAATAAGCTATCTTCCACATAGAATACTGATGAAGTTTATTATTCCGGACTTACCCTATTCTTGAACATGAAATTCTCATTTAATTAACTCTTTGTATGAAACTAGACTGTCTATGGTAAAGAGTGTATGATACATAAACTGTTCTCAATGAATTGCATATCAAAGCTTGTTCTATCTCAATGGTTCCTTAGAAAATATAGATTTGAATGTTTCCCTTTCAACTTGAAATTGTAACATGTATCATTACTTTTTACAACTGTTTTAATTTCTAGTTTCAACTACAGTACAAATTTATAATTCTTCCAAAAGTGACCTAAATAGCATATGCAAGAGACCCAAGTCTGGCTCTACAGAATATTTCAAGATAATAGACAATTACAAAAACAAAAATTTAAGAAGGTACTTGTTGTTTAAGGTTATTGGGAGTGAAAAGGTAAATTTCTCTGTTTCAGAAATTGTTGAATCATAAAATGTTCTTAAGTTTTAACTTATAATTTAAGAATGCCAATACCATTATGGAATATTAGTTTTCTTTTATTCTTCCAGGGTTACTATTCCTACAGACGCCACCCCCCTTTTTTGGTAGTTTAAACCCACCATTTATGTGATGAAACCTCAAAGGACGCCACTGAGAGAAGTAACAATAATAATTTTAAGTGCCGCATGGATATCCAATTCTTTAAAATCAGTTGTTCTTTGTAATGAACAAGTCAACAAGATGTTATGCTGCCAAGGGGAGGCAACTCCATAAACCTCGTTATATTTCTTACAAATGAAGTAATTACAAATGTGACATAATATAGCACCTGCAAATAAATGATTCTATGGAACGCCAAAATGGACAAAAATACATGATAGTCTGACACCCGTAAACTACATCCAATGCCATTTAATTACAAATTTATTACAAATGTTTGAAACAATGCCATTATTGAACACAAAAATATTCACTTCTAAAACACCATTTTTCTTTTGTTTGTAAACATTTTTCATTAATCAATTTAAGCACATCTATACTAATCCTTAATGTCTATCACAATTGCTAATTTTCCTTTACACAAGTGTTTTATTTTGGAAGATAAAAGTAAGGTTTGTATACCCCTGAAAAAAATCCCATGTATATTAACACTGGAGCTTTTACTATATAAAAACAATTAAATATTAGAAAAACAGTGTTGGTACAAAATTGAAACTGAGATACCAAACAAACGAAAAAAAAACATGAAAAGTTGCATCATTTACCTTTAGTCTACATATTTATGGAGTTTCATCCTATTCATTTTTTTTCTGTTCCCTTCAGTCAGGAAATGCAATCTTTTTTTTAAAACATATTCTACACAAAGTGTGCAAAACAGGAGAACCACTTGCTTTAGTCAATCTTCAATGCTTAAACTAATGTGCTTTGATAACCCTCTAATGTTTTATTGAATTCTGAAATCTAATCAGGCCAAACAAAAATATATACTTGTTTTCTGTTTCCTGTCTCCTGGCAAAAGAAAATAGGAGGTAAAAAGATTTTATTTTTTAAAATATTTTACACAAGACTATATAGAGAAATATTCTGGACTTTATGTTTAGACTTTAATAGTGCTTAACCAAATATGTCCATAAAAGTTTTAAGGTAGGCATGAAAATGTAGGGTAGGTAGGGAGGCAGGAAACACTACTATATTTTTTTTTGGCCTCACTGGAACATCATACAGGCTTACAGTAAATTCTATACACTTATAATGGCATTTCAGCAGCACTATATTATTGAATATTCATCAATGCAATAAGTCATGTGATTAAATGTAAACCAATGAAATAAGTCATGTGATTAAATGTAAACAGGCATATGTTTCAACATTTGATAACATTATAACTCTACATTAAAATTACAGAGACAGTAAATTGATTCATATTTTCCCCAACACTTTTTTTTTTTTAATGTCCTATTTGGACTGTTTTGGGATTTTTTCGATGGCATGTTTACCTTGAAAATAGAAATTCACTATGAAACCAAACTGTAATAAAATCTTTGTTTTCTTCAACAGTTAAAAAATGTTTGGGAAAATAAAATATCAATTAACTGTGACTGAAGGAACATTCAATTTGAATTAAGTCCCTTGCCCTATATTATTGTACACACAACTTTAGCTAAATTAAGAGGCCACATATCACAACCATGCTCCATTATATTCTGTTCTTCAAGCTTTACAAATGAAAATAAAATCTAATGGTAACGTTGTTTTTCTAATTGCAGTATCAGACAAAAAATTTAAAATTAACAAAGATTCTTCTTTATAGATCAAAGACCTGAGCCTCTATTCACAAAAAAATCTTGCACAACAAAAACTGATCATAAGTTATACTGAAATGTTCATAACTTACTTTCTCGCAAGATTTTTGTGAAATGAGTCGCAGGAATTTTACTTCTATTACCTGATAAAAAGTACCTACGATAAATTTCAAAAGAAATTAGTATTATCAGACAAAAATGAAACAGTTACACAACAACGGTAAAACCATATACTGTCAACTCTTTAATGAAATTATTGTCATAAGTTAAAAAAAAAATTAAAGGAAAACTGTAGCGAAATTTGCGATTTTTTTTTATCAACTTTAATATTCCAGTTAGGTATGCATAAAACATTTGAAATATTTTGCTATCATGATTACATCGTATCTATCTGTATTACAAGGGCACAAATGGGGTAAAAAAAGGTTAAAATTAATAATAAAATCAAAATATAACAATATGTTGCTGCAGTGCTTACTGGCCGAACTAGAGAACATACAATGTGACCGGGAAGAAAAATATTTAAATCCCCCTGTCATGCCCCCAAAAAACTAACATCACAACAATTACCATATAATAATAATAATTAATAATAGCACAACAGTTTAACAACAATATTTACAAGATCTCACAGCACTTCTTACATCACAGCACTTTCTGTCAATAGTCTGTTCAGAAACGTAAGTCTTTAAAAGCACAGAAGTCTCCATTTTTTTCTTCAATGAACAACAAATAGTAATGCCCCTTTGTGACTATACAGTTATAAAAACGGTATAAATTCTAATTCAGAAAATTTTTTCGTTCAGATTTCACATCTGTAAAAAATATTTCTGATTGTCAAAACTCTCGTGTTCTTCTGAAACTATATATTACCTCTTAAGTTTTGGAATTAGGAGACTTCGTGTGTAACCTTTTTTTTCAAATGTCTTTTTTCAAGTTACAAATGGGAAAAAAAGATGCCGTTCTCAGCACTATGCACTATACTGTGCAACTTGGAACCTCTACAGAAACCATGAACGGCATTTGTGTTTCTATGGCAACTGGCTATCAAGCTGAGCACTGTACTGTTACCGGGATACATATTTTATGATGGCACACATTTGTGTTGTAACAACAGAACTACCGTGCAAATTTAAACAATAATTTATCAAAAAGCAATTTCATCATGTGTCTCGTTCTTTTTTGACCTGGTCATAGTTCGGCGACAATTTCCGTGGCGACACCTGTGGAGAATTTGGAAGAGTAAAACGTCTTTGTTTTGACAATAGTTCCGTTACCATGACACCAGAGCGTTGTAGTTCATCTTGTAATATCATGTTATCACGTCGGACTTGTTCATACAAAAGTTCATACTGATGTAAACGGGTCTGTAATTCTCCATTAATCTGTACATATTTCGAAGTCTACAAAAAAAGAAGTATAGAATACAATATCTTGCAGCATATAGTATAACAAAATGATGAAGAAAACAAAAACATGAATTAAGTAAAGATGTTAAAAGTAAAAATCAACTATAATTTTGAGTTGTTCCCCTTTGGCCAAAAAATAGTAAACAACTGTTGAAAATCATTACATTTTTGCCAAGGACAGAGCTTTTGAAAATTTGAAAGAGGATTGCAAAACCAAAAACTTATTCCTGAACATAGCCAGGTTGAAATTTTAAAAACTTATTCTATTCTAAGAAGAAATACATGTTACACATGTACTGTTTAGGACTTCCTTGTTTCATTGGTCCAATCATTATTTGATTGTAATTCTTAATTATGAAATTAAATAGAAAATAATAAACTTATGGCGAAGGTTTGAAAATATCATAACATCATATACTTCTTTCATGAATAAATAAATTAAGCACATTGTGTACTCAAATATTTGAAAGCATGCTTTGGATACGTGTAAATGGGTTATACAATTTATTGTTTTTTAAGAAAGTCAAATACATGACATTCTTACAATAAACTGCTTCACTGAGCGCAGCTGTATACACCCGCAGAGGTCCAACCCAGAACAGTTGGGGCAAAAATGGACACAATATTCAAGCTTGATACAGGTCTGAATTTGGATTGTAATTAAATATTTGACATATTATAGGTTTCTGAATAAATGTAGTCAAAGAACTTGAAATTGGTTATATGAATTGAATTTATATTCAATTAAAGATTTCTTGCTGTTGTGCAATACACTGTGCTGTTGCACAATGCTTAGTAAATCTGTTGTCAGACTATAAAAAATTAAATCTTATAACTCAGAAACCTAAATTCGAAAATTTATAAAAATCAAAAGGGAGCTTACAAAAATAGATATAAACAATTGACCAAAGTTTCATAAAAAATGCTGAAAGCATTTATGAGTTATTTTCCGAAAACTGGAAAATCCCCCTTTTTGTAAAACCCCATAAATCGCAAACGTATAGTCTAAAATTTATAAAAATCAAAAGGGAGCTCATGTCGATAAAAATAAACAATTCATCAAAGTTTCTTGCAAATTGGTGAAATTGTTTTTGAGTTATTGTCTGAAAACTGGAAAATCCCCCCTTTTTTAATGAATAAAACCCCAAAACTCGCAAACGGTAAATCCCAAATTTATAAAAAACGAAAGGGAGCTCACGTCAATAGATATAAACAATTCACAAAAGTTTCATGCAAATTAGTGAAACTGTTTTTGAGTTATTGTCCGAATACTGGAAAATCCCCCCTTTTTTAATGAATAAAACCCCAAAACTTGGAAACAGTAAATCCGAAATTTATAAAAAACGAAAGGGAGCTCACGTCAATAGATATAAACAATTAACTAAAGTTTCATGCATATTGGGTAAAGCGTTTTTGAATTAATGTCCGACATGTTGACGAAGGACGGACGGACAGACAGACGGATGGACAGACGGTCAACGGTATACCATAATACGTCCCGTAAACAGGCGTATAAAAACAATACATTGTATAACTTTTTGGTATTTTTTTTGATAGAATGCATATTTTCAAATGGTTTTATAATTTATTGGTTTTTTAAGAATGTCAAATACAAAAAAAAAATATATTGAGGATATTTATTATTTTTTTGTTGAAATTTTTGGAAATGATTTTAAAGAATGCCAATTTTTGATTGACATTCTTAAAAAACCAATACATTGTATAACTTTTTGGTATTTTTTTTATGAGAATGCATTATTATTTTGTCAAATTTTATTTATTCAAATATATCAAACATTGCAGTACAAACAATTCATCACATCGCAATGCCAAATATGATTCAGTCTGAGACCACATGCTAACCACAGTGCTATAAAAAAATCCTGTTGAGAAAACTAAAAAACCAATACATTGTATTATTTTTTTTCTCTAAATTTTTATAGTAGAAACATAAAACTTATCAGTATCCAGGGATACATATCTGTTAAAGAAAAGAAATATTTTCCTTGTTAAACATAAACCCCCAAACCTCATTTCTCTGTGGAGGTTGCAGTTGTTTTTTTCTGCCTTTTGCGATTAATATGTCTGGGTTTTCCCAGTAAAATGTAGGATGATGAACTTTTTTTTTAATTTCCAACGGGAAAATGTCAGACACGAGAATCAATATCGACAATCAAAGTCAGGATTTTCCGAAATTTCAAAAGCAGTATTACAGTTTCAGGTCAAATTAATTCTTCATTTGATGTCAGTAAGCTGTCATGTTAATACAAAAATACTACTTTGGAGTCAAACTAATTTTGAAAATTGCTGCAAATGCATGTAAATGAAATCTTGTGTTTCAAGTTCATTGGCAGTGTCAATAAACTGTTAAATTAGTTATCAGTTGAAAAGAAATAAGTGTCTCTCATATTGACTGGTGGGAAGTCATTCACGGTTCATCAAAACAAAAAATTTATCAAATTAGCAAGATGATTTGCCAAGAATTTGCAATATCAGCAAAAGAAAAAAATATTATTCGGCTGCAGTTTTTTGCCATTTGACATTATATTGGTATAAAAATATTACCTTATATATACTTATATTGCTCCAATTTATATTCTTTACCCCAGTCTCATAACATGGATGAAGTAACCAGGGGAAAGAGGAAGAGGCAAAACTATATTTTTTCACCCCCTTTTTTTTTGCCCCCCAAAAAATGATTGAAAATAACATATGAAAGGGGAGACTGACTATCTTTTTGACTAACTATTAGACAATAAAAAATCTTCTACACCACGGTTCAAAATAGCAGTTAAGGACTGGACAGATGGCTGATGAAAAAAGTATACCATGACATTATTATCAAAACAGAATTTTTTGAAGCATAAACATTGAAAAATGTAATAAATAGAAAAAAATAATTACAAAGTATGTTTTTCATTTAATCTACACCTCACTGCAACTTTGAGATGAAAAACAGAAATATATGTTGATGCTTTATAATGGTTTTTTTTTAATATGTGTAGAGATTTTGTCATAAAATTGAAAATGGAAACTGGGGAATGCTTCTTAGAGACAAAAACCCGACCAAAGAGCAGAAAAACAGCCCAAGGCCACCAATGGGTCTTCAACACAGCGAGAAAATCTCGCATCTGGAAGACAGGCTTCAACTGGCCCCTAAACAATAATGTATACTTTGTGAGTACAAAGCCAAGTTGGCAACATGAGGGTCTAGTTGGGGTTAACAGAATAGAGAATAATAGGCAAAAAGTGAAACATAAAGGACCAAAAAATAAAGAATAGAGACAAATTATAAGTGAATTCATATAAACCATATCCATAACATTCTTTACTTTATTCCATTATTTCATCTATCTTTTAATACTTCTTCTCTATGTCATAAATTCATAAACTCCCAATTAAATTGTCAGGATTATTTTAAGACATAACATGTTTTTTAAAACTCAATTTAGGGGAAAATTTGGCATCAAGTTGATAAACATGACAGATTTATACACATGCCAAATGTTCTTAACATAAAACACATTTAGTACAATGTTTACATTTAATTGCATATAACTTAATATATAATGTATAAAAGCATGCTATTGTACAAAAAACGATGTGTAAATGTGCTGAAAGTTTGTTGGAATGTTGGTAGGGAGTCTGTCTGCCTGGATGGCATCCAATTGTCTGCATGGTCAGTCAACCCATAGCAAATTTGAATAATTTATTCACATTAACAATGTGTACTTTATTTAAGCTTGTTTTATTAGTAATGAAGTCTATTTAGAAGTAGTTTATTGATGTGTAAAATTCGGCAGACTCACTTAAAACTGAAAAAAAGAAAATGACTATAGGTAAGTTTGTGATTGAAAAGCCAAGTTGGCAACATGAGGGCCTAGATGGGGTTAACTGAATAGAGAATGATAGGCAAAAAGTCAAGAATAAAGGACAAAAAAATAAAGAATAGAGACAAATAGGTCAAAAATATAAAGAATAGAGACAAATAGGTCAACAATATAAAGAATAGAGAAATGAGGGACCCCCCATCCAAATCCTGATACATCAGTAAATAACCTTTATTACTTATAATTTCAATAAGATGCACTGAAAAATGCCCTTATCAAATATTTTATGAAAGCTAACAAAACTATTTCGCCTGCCTAGGAATATTAATACTTGTAACAACATGAAACAGGTTTATACATGCATAAACTATTTGGTTGCCATGACCCTATCCAAAGAAATAAGATGTAACTTTAAAATGATATTCAATCTATGCATTTTAAACCCAATACTATATGGAATTGGTTTTGCTCATTGTTGAAGGCCACATGGTTGACCTGTAGTTGTTTACATCTTTGGTATTTCAGCCTCATAGGCTGCATCATATCCAATCTCCTTATTTGTATTCCTATCAAGTTAATAAAAACAAATATATTCCAGGAAATTCAATATATTATTGACAATTTATTTCTAGTGTATATCAATATTGCATAAACAATTTTATTTTGAGTACTTCTGAGTCATCAAAGACTTAAAACAGTATCTATCATTTTACAGGGGAGGAAAAGACATTATCAATTCCCCAATGAACTTTGATACTAAAGGAGGCAACACTTTGTCAAAGCATTTTCTTCCTTTCTGATTCATCCAACTTTTGTAATGCCAGTCAAAAGGGCAATCAATGGCTTTGATACTCAGAAAAAAAACAAAATATATTGCAAATTGCCAATGCAAGATCAACTAAAAAAACTTCAGAAAAACCTGACAGTGACCCAGTGTCAATTACAATTTATCTAATCAATTTGACTTCCAAAAGGTTACCAGTCTTATAGTTGTGGAATTTAATAGCCTTGGCTCCAGTGGTCTGCCACATTAATAATTCATAACTCTTATACAATCTTTCTGAGTCACCCAACTTTAAAGTGCATTGGGTAACTTAGTTTTTTAGTAAATTAAATGATAGGGATAGCAAAATGGAGAATCGACTTTAAAAATTGGCAAAATGG